TGGGATTAAAGGCGTGTGCCACCACCACCACACTCTTGCTATGGCTCTAATAGCTCTGACCCCCGGGTAACTTTATTTATTAACATACAATCAAAATCACATTTCAGTACAATTAGAATACCACCACAAGAATGATTGGCCAGTGAAGTCCCATGGACCCTCAAACATTACAGACTACTGTCGATGCTAGTCATTACCCTCCAGAACTTGATAGTAAGGTCCTATTGCTAGAAAACACACACTTGAGTCACAGAATGTGCAAATACCATGCTGGTACTGAGTTGGAGTCTTTATCCCTAATGCTGGCTTCCATAATGCTGGCAGGTGCTGTGCATGCTACCTGAAGAGAAAAATACTCATCAGACTTACCAAGGTGTGAACCTTGTGAGCTCGACAACACATGTCCACTGGTGCAACAGTGGCATGAACATCACAGGAGTAACAAACCACTTTCTGTTTGGATTTAGGTCCCACTCCGCAAGATGAAACCCATACCTGGCACCATTGATGAGCCAATAACCTATGGCTAGACAGGTCATGGGCCCTAGGAGAAAACTTACTACCATTATTCTGCTAAATGGACATCATATTTAACTGACTCCTAGTGGCATTGTTAGGCATCTCCCAACCTTCATTAGAGGAGCTTCTATTTGAAGCAGATGGTGATTAACACAGAGTTAAGGAGTTGTGATTAACGCAACTGGCCAAGGTGTGGAGAATAATACTCAGCCCTAAGTGGAACCTCTCTGTTACACCCTTTCTTCCTTAGATGAAGGGATCACTGGGGAAGAGGAAGTAGAAAGACTGTAAGAGCCAGAGGTGGTGGATGACCACAAGGAAACAGCGTCCTCTTGACATTGCAGGGTAACTGCACATAGGAAGTCACAGTGGTTATGACAGCATGCACAAGACCAGTGCAAGCTCAAGCCAGACCAAATCCCAGCATGGAGAGGGGAGGTGGAGATGTAGTCCCAGCCCAGCTGAGGGGCTACTGGCAACTGATAGCTGCTGGGAGAGGGAGAGGCAGTGTCCTTTAAGGGTGTCTCCCCTAGTAAGTTGATATACTCCAGGAGAAGGCCAACACCCAAGAATATATGGGCATCACAAATTGAACATGATGAGTGAAAAACAAGACACAAAGTTGGGTGGGTAGGGAAAAGGGGTGGATCTGGGAGGAACTGAGGAAGAGCCTGCATATGATCAAATCTCATCATACAGGATGTTCAATGAACTAATAAAAGATAAATAACCTTTTAAAAATCCAAATGATGCTGGGCATGGTGAAGACTTTTTAGATACAACACCAAAAGCATGATTTATAGAAGAAAGAATTGATAAGCTAGGCCTCATTAAGTTAAAAAAAAATGTACTGAAAAAAATTCCCTGCTCTTCAAAGAATGCTATGAAGCCAGACATAGTGCCACATGCCTTTAGTCTCAGCATGGGGAAGGTCAAGTCAAGTGGAGCTTTTTGAATTTGGGGCCAGCCTGATCTACATAGCAAGCTTCAGGCCACCCAGGATTATATAGTGAGACCATTTCTCAAAAAAAAAAAAAAGATATCAGCATGAAAAAATGTTCCACATTCTATACCAATGGGAATTACAAATGGAGAATAGATACGGCTGTGTTATCTCAAGTGGTAAAAATACTAAATGTCGACATAATAAAACACTGTGTTGAGCAGCAGAAGCTCTCACTCACTGTTCTTTGAACTACAAAATCGTACAGTCACATTGGAAGACACTTTGCCAGAGTCTTGTGAAACATACTCTTACAAAATGATGCAGCAATTACCCTCCTTATGTCCACGCACAACCATGCACATGGATGTTTATAGACACTTTGGTTATAACTGGGAATAACCAAGATAGCGATTGATAAGTGAATGGGTAGCTAAACGGTAGTACATCCAAACAATGGGCTATTATTCAGAACCAAGAACTGAACTATCGAGCTATAAAAATACACGAAGAAAATTTAAGCGTATGTCACTAAATGAAAGAAGCCAATCTAGGGAGTGGGTACAGACTGTGGGATTCCAACTGTATGATATGCTGGAAGGCATCATATGGAAGCAGTTACAGTACCAGTAGTTGAC